AATTGCTCAGTGGTACCTATTAATGTTGAAAGGATATAGATGCAATAACACCTGAATTGTCATAAGGTCCAAGGCAACTAAACTACAAATGTGTTATTGGCAGACAAATGTAGGAACTGCATAACCATATTACAGAAATTTAGGAGGATGAGAAGAGCAGAGGGTGTTTTTCCTTTCTTCTCATAAACTCTGAAAATATATCATAGAGTTAATATTCCTGGAGAAGATAAAATATTTCCCATATAATTTTACAGATTCTGTTAGCCCTTGGCAGATTTTGATTGATAAATTTTTAAGTACCATCAAATACCCTAAGTAAAATGTTCACATCTGCTGGACTAGAAATTAATGGTGGTATAATCAGAATGGTAACAGCAGCCCAGGCTTTGACAGTGGTCATGAAAGGTGTGAGGAGTAGAATAAATTCTTGGCTTCAGCTGTCAGTTCAGGACATAATTCTCATTAATTTCTAAGTAATTTATTGAACATGGAATATCCTGAAATCACTGGTCCTAGGCATTCCAAACTAATGAACTAATTTTAATAAATGACAGAATTAATGTTTTTTTTTGTCTTTGTGTCTGTTTAAAATGATCGTGGTATTGCATTGTCCTGGTGTTTCTGACATAAACAATAATTTATTGGTTTACATACTGTGCTGAATTTTGGTGTTAGTAAATGTGTGGATCCACACACAGAATGATCAGTGAGGCAGGATAGACACTGTCTGCTCTGCTCTTTGGGTGAGCCAGGGATTTTCTGGCATGGAAAGTGTAAATGGAAAGCTTGTATGAGAAAAGCTTAACATTATTATTGTCTAACTTTTAAACTATGGTCAATACAAATATTTAAAAATGTGAGTTAGTGAAAATTGCACATTCTTTGGTACTGATTTATGCTCATGTACTTCCTTCGTTGTGTTCCATGCCTATGATATTTGTTGGTTGTGCCCTTTCACTTCACCTTGTCATACTTATGGATGAAAAGAGGACACCAGAAGTATGGTGTTGTTACAGCCCAGCTGGATGGGCTGGTACATGGAAGGAACTTGTATGGAACATCCTTTCTTACAAGATTTTATTAAATACTCTGTCTCTTTATCCATCTCCATGACTTTTTTCTGACGCTTTCCTTCATGACAGGACAAAGTGCCAGAGGAAGATGTATTCCTGTTGTATCAAAACCTAGAGATAGAATCATTTTAGCCTTCTCAGCAGTATTGTCTCCTAAAGCTGATTTACATTTAACACAGAATTAGTCAGATGTTGCAAACAGGCCAGCAGATTCTGCTTAGAGCTAGTTTTCAGTTTGCCATTTTCATGTTTGCTGGTTTGAAATGAAAGGATCCACTGGTCATGTTCTGCTGACATAACACTGTTCGTAAAGCTCTTCTACTATCACCTCCATTAGGAAATTCACTCTTACAGAAAGGGAAAAAGGCAAAGTGCTTTGAAGACACTAGATTTTCTTATTTTTGTATGTAAACAGTGACAGCTCTTTTTCAGGCTGTGGAAGTAATGATCTGAGATAATCTCAGAAGACCCTGTCGTGAATTTTGTTCTGTGACATGTATGTGTTCATGCAGACACACCAAAAAAAAATTTTATTTGCTATCTTATTTGGTAAGAATGTCTCCATACTGATCTAATTGAGGGAAATCAAAGGAAAAGGTTTTTTTTTTTCTCAAAGATTCAAAGATTAACTTTTTTGGGTTTTTTTGCAACACATTATTGCAGATTTATTTCTAATTCCAGGAGTTGTTCATTAGCTTGCCCTCAAAATTACTGATTTTGTTAGCCCTTCAGTGAGAATGGCTGAGGATTGGGTAAATGACAGTGCATGGTTTGGAATGTTATTTTCATACTTTAACAGCTGTGGAAGGAAATACTTTGTTCCCTGTATCAGTTTAAAAAAAGGTGTTTTTCCATCCTAGAGAGACCTGCCTTGCAGCTGGAAGCAAGGTGCCTGAGAAGGGGCAGAACACAAAGAAATCTTTATCCCTGCCATTGTCATTCCCAGCTGCACTGTAGAGGGCACCGGGATAAGGATATTTGGTCATCCCTTCCCTTTTTTTGGTGGATGTGGCAATATTAGGGTTGCAGTTGGACTTGATCCTTAAGATTTTCTCCAAGCTAAATGATTCTGTGAAATGGGAGATGCTCTGAGTGGAGGGTGGAACCTCCTGCTGGCTTGTGTGAGGCTGCTTGGCCACTGTAGATTTTGGAACCTTTGAAGTGGTATAATTGCACTCTTAAAAGGCACCAACTTTCCCTTGTCTTGGCAGTCAGATGCTTCCAATAGTTACTCTTTTTATGAAATAAGCATTCACTGTGTCAATTAGTGTAATTCAAAGTATGACTACAATTCTTAAAATTCTGCTCTTGTGTTGATATTATATATAATGGAATATTAATGCAATAAACTCATTTATTGAAGTTATAAAAAATTCTGACAAGTTAAAAAAATTGAATTTCTAGTTTGCTAAAGGCAAGTATTCTGAGCTTTCTTAATAAATACTCTTCTCATACAATATTTGTTATGTTAAACTACATTTTGAAAAGCAAAGCAGTACTAATTTTTTAAAATAAATTAATAACAAAAATTCTAATCTCAAACCTCTTGCTATAACTCTTTTACATTTCTGTATTTATGGTAATACATATATATTTTAAAATCTTTTCACCAGCTTGTCCTGGGACATACACATCTGAAATACCCATGTATCTAAATAATAGTCCATCACGATACATGCTAAAATTGTCTGGCACGCTGAGGTCACCAAAAATAAATTTTCACCCCCCCTTTTTAATGCTGATGCCAGTTCCGCTGGGTGTGGAAACTGAAGTAGTCGTCACCATCATTCCACAGGATTTTATAAGGTAAAAATCTTGACATATATTTATTACAGAAATCCTGAATTGTTGATTCATTCACTTCTGAAAAAGTGAATTAATATTTGTTTGTGAATGTTAGTATTAATTATATGCTCAGTGTAAGAATCTCTATATTTATGAGAAAATGAATTTAATTATTATTGTTGAATGTTCAAAAAGCACATGTTTTTTCCTCAAACACACCTGCTTCATGAAGTGTCTATTTTCTGATATCTTCACTCCATGAACTTATATCAGAAATATAAAATTACTGTGGATAGCAAAAAAATTAAAAGCAGACACTCTACCAGGATTTTTTGCTGTGTTTAGCCAGATACTAAGGTTTTAATCTTATTTCTATTTTTCACATTATGATAACATAAAATCTTTCTGTCATTTTATTTTTTCTACTCCACTGGTTTGAGGTTTAGCTAATTGAACAGTTGGTGGGGTTGTAGTTCTTCGTGGGTTTTTTTTCTCCTTCTTTCCATGTGAGGTTTTATTAAAAAGGATAGCGGAAGTGTTTTAATCCTGCTACTTGTTTCAATAAGAAATCTATATATTTTTTATTTATCTGTGGATCACTCACTTCATCCTGGTACTTGAATTTAAGAGAGATTTTTGTAATCTTCGTATAATGTGGTGTAACTTAGCATTGCAACTATTCAAGTATTTAGATTTAGCTTTTTTGTTTGTAATTAGTAAAGAGCAATACTTGTTTGCTATGCTTGTGTAGGTATCATTTAGATACTAGAATTACAGAAAAATTCCCTTTTGTTGTAAATTAATCAAATTACCTTCAGGTTATTATTGTCTGAGTGTGCTGATTTATCAAGTGGTTTGTCTGTTGTCAGTAGCTCTGTGGTTGGAACTGAAGGGATTCCACATGGGCCTGGAGTGACTGCTGTTCTTATTTCAGAGCTGAAATCAGTAACTACATACTGAAGTATCTTCAGCATTTTCACAAATTTACCCTTAATATTTCTATTTTAATAACTTACTTTAACTTATTTTGCAGTAGTGCAGTTTAATGAACTCTAATGCAAGTTTTAAGTTTCAGAAAACTCTGTATGCCTTTTGTAGCATAGTTAGTAGAAATTTCTTTTGGATGTTCAGATATTGTGAGTCAGCATAAAATGTTCAGATACATACAAAGAAAACAAACTAGCATCTAAATGATGAAAGAATTTTATTTTTAAAATTTTTCATTTGATTTGCACTTGAAAACTAAAGGTGTTATTCTGTATTCAACTATGAAAGCATTTTGTTAATGTGAGAATCTATGAATTAACTTTATTACTGCAATCCTGTGACCACAAACACCTACTATTTCTGTTTAACACAGGCAATCACGAATTAGAGTTAGACTTCCTGAGCTTGAACTTGCAGATGGTACCAAGACTTGTCCTTTTTCTGTGCAGTTCCCAGAGGGACAAAATATTGTTCTTTCATCAGATGGCACAGCTAATGAGCTGACCTGCCGTATCAGCTTCAGCTCATCCAAGCCAATGTCATTTTTAGGGGAAATGCTCCTCATCGATCAAGAAGACAACAGGTAATGTGTGCAATTCAAATTCACTTGGGGGAAGGTTCCAGACTGACCAAGTTGGATATAAGACACAGAACTCACAAGGGTTGGGTAAAGGAACACAAGAATCCTCTGAAGAAAATGCAAGATAGACATTATTTTCTTTTTTGCAATTTAATTAATATTCAGAACTAAAAAATTCAGCTTTGTGTCTAAGGTAAATCTCTAAGGTAAAATTCATCTAAGTGTCCATTTTAAGGTCTTGTTTCAAGCTCTCATTTGTATCTACTGGTAACTCATCTCTTGTTCAGCTCTGCCAGGGGTGGGATGAGAGGGTGAATGCAAGAGGAAGAAAGATGGGCACTGTTGCTATTAAATTAATTCCTGTGTTTAGTATTTTCACTAAAGCAACTATTTTGAGAGATAAATAATTCCACCCTGCAGCCTCGAATAGGCTTTTTCTAAGCATAAAACTAAATTTTATATTATTTTGATGCAAAGGTTATGGATCTTTAAGTTATTGCTGCTCTGGGTTAATAGTTCATATTTTGCTGTATAGATTGTCAGCCAATAATCTATTTGTTATTAATTTTAATTAATTATAGGATATAATAATTGTGTGGGGTGTGTTAAAGTTTAATGTTTGAACTTTAACACATAAATCTGTGTTAAAGTTTGCTGTAATTAGAAGAAAAGGATATTTTAAGCTTATGACCAACCAAGTGTGAAATGTAGCTTCTGAGCAGGCACAATGTTTAGTTTTAATAACTTTTTATGTGATGCACTGGCAGCTTCTCAAACCTTGTTATAGAAAAATAAAAATTCCTCCTGTGTAATAAACTTTTTCTATATTTACCATTAAAAGGAAATAAAGAATATGACACTCAATTTAAAGGCAAACTGAATGTATTTTTTGAAAAAAGATAGCAAATAAAAGTCATCTAAGTAACCTTAACAGCCATTCCTGCTCATGAGGGTGAAAAAATTCATGCTCCAGAATTTAAAGTCATCTCAGAATTGTTGCTAGGTTTTAAAATGTAGAACTAAATTATTTGTTAAAGGACAGAACTCATAACAGCAGTTTGCTAATGTATATGGGATTTTCTGACAGGCTTGTGGGTGGGCTTTAGGAGCAGATGATATAAAACCTGAGCAGAAATAAAAGAATTATGTGTGTGTATCTTTGGTCAGTGTGGGAATATTATTATTTCAGATGAAATTATTTTTATTGTAACCAGAATTAATTATTTTCTTGACTTAGAAAAGTCTGAGTATGCACCCAGTTCTGTAATCCTGACTGTTTCCTTCTTCTAATAAACTCCATGATAATTCCATGATAAATCCAAGTCTGGATAACACTGCTAGTATTATTATTGCTTTGATATTGCACTCTGTAATAATAGGTAGCTGGAATTTCTTGTTCTCTGCATATCTTTCCCTCATTCCAGCCAGCCCCCATGGGAGCCCTGTGCAACGTGTTCAAACTTCAAACCTGATTCAACTAATTATCTAACCATTTGAATAATTTGTTTCAAACTGTGTATCTAATGAATTTAAACTGCTTTTTAAATTTGAGTATTTTAGAAAGACAAGATTTCAGGGTCTTCTCGATTTGTAATAATAAAACAATGGAACCTAAAACCTTTTATAACACCTATAAAAGCTAACTGGTCTTGATAAAGTTCCAGGACTGTTTAATAAGCCATGAAATCTCACAGTATCAGTTGCTGAAGATGTATTAATTTGTCAGGAGTTCTCTCTTTATATTTCCATTTTCAAAATGATAATATGTACATTAAAATGATTTGAACTAAACTTTTGAACTTCATCTCCTATTCTGTGTTCTGGGATATTCTTATTAAAATAAGCAAGTCAAGATTTTCAGAGGTTAGTAAAATATTTTATTCTACAGTTACTTAGAAGAAAACCACTTCTAAGCAGAACAAGTTCTAGGCATATTTCAAAGCAGGAGTATTGAGGAGAAAAACACTCCATAGGGGTTGACCCTGGCTGGATATCAGGTGCCCACCAAAGCCTCTGTCACTCCCCTCTGCAGCTGGACAGGGGAGAGAAAATATAATAAAAGATCAATGAGTTAAGAACAGAAGAGAGATCACTCACCAAATACCTTTATGGGCAAAACTGGCTTGAATTAGAGATATTAATTACATTTATTACTGAAAAAAAAAATCAAAGCAAGATAATGAGAACTTAAAAACTCCTTCCCTTCACTCCTCCCTCCTTCCTAGCTCCTACCTCTTCCCCAGAAGTGGAAGGAAACAGGGAATGGGGGTTGTGGTCAATTCATCTCCCATTATTTCTGCTTCTGCTTAGGGAGGGGAGTCCTTCCCCTGTCCCACCATGGGCTCCCTTCCATGGGAGAGAGTTCTCCATGAACTTCTCCAATGTGTGTCCATCCCATGGGCAGCAGTCCTCCCCAGACTGCTGCAGCGTGGATCCCTCTGCCATGGGGTGCAGTCCTTCAAGGACAGCCTGCTCCAGCTTGGGTCCCCCATGGGTCACAATACTAACCAGGAAACCTGCCCCAGGGTGGGCTCCCCTCTCCACAGGTCTGCATGTCCCAGCCAGGAGTCTGCTCCAGCACAGGCCTCCCATGGGTTCCCAGCCTCCACTCAGCATCCTCATGCTCTGTTTTGGGTCTCCTACATGGGCTGCAGGTGGATCTCTGCGTCCCCGTGCCCTCCTGGGCTGCAGGTGGATCTCTGCATTCCTGTTCCCTCCTGGGCTGCAGGTGGATCTCTGCATTCCTGTTCCCCCCTGGGCTGCAGGTGGATCTCTGCATTCCCGTGCCCTCCTGGGCTGCAGATGGATCTCTGCATTCCTGTTCCCTCCTGGGCTGCAGGTGGATCTCTGCGTCCCTGTGCCCTCCTGGGCTGCAGATGGATCTCTGCGTCCCCGTGCCCTCCTGGGCTGCAGATGGATCTCTGCATTCCTGTTCCCTCCTGGGCTGCAGGTGGATCTCTGTGTCCCTGTGCCCTCCTGGGCTGCAGGTGGATCTTTGCATTCCTGTTCCCTCCTGGGCTGCAGATGGATCTCTGCATTCCTGTTCCCTCCTGGGCTGCAGGTGGATCTCTGCATTCCTGTTCCCTCCTGGGCTGCAGGTGGATCTCTGCGTCCCTGTGCCCTCCTGGGCTGCAGATGGATCTTTGCATTCCTGTTCCCTCCTGGGCTGCAGATGGATCTCTGCGTCCCCGTGCCCTCCTGGGCTGCAGGTGGATCTCTGCATTCCCGTGCCCTCCTGGGCTGCAGATAGATCTCTGCATTCCTGTGCCCTCCTGGGCTGCAGGTGGATCTCTGCGTCCCCGTGCCCTCCTGGGCTGCAGGTGGATCTCTGCATTCCCGTGCCCTCCTGGGCTGCAGATGGATCTCTGCATTCCTGTGCCCTCCCGGGCTGCAGGTGGATCTCTGCATTCCTGTGCCCTCCTGGGCTGCAGGTGGATCTCTGCGTCCCTGTGCCCTCCTGGGCTGCAGGTGGATCTCTGTGTCCCTGTGCCCTCCCGGGCTGCAGGTGGATCTCTGCATTCCTGTTCCCTCCTGGGCTGCAGGTGGATCTCTGTGTCCCTGTGCCCTCCTGGGCTACCTCACCATGGTCTCGCCATGGGCTGCAGGGGAATCCCAACTCTGGTACCTTGAGCACCTCCTGCTCCTCTTTCTGCATTGACCTGGGTATCTGCAGAGCTGCTTCTCTCACTGATTCTCACTCTCCTCTTCTCTGCCTGTAATTACATCTGTGACATAACTTTTTTTAAAATTCTTAAGGATATTATCACAGAGGTCTTGCCACCATTTCTTGCCTTGGCCAGTGGCACATCAGTCTGGCTGCTGTTGGGTTCTGATCTGATGGAGGTGGAGGAAGCTTCCAGCAGTTTCTCAAAGCCACCTCTGTATCATCCCCCACTACCAAAACCTGGCCATAAAAACCCAATGCACTTTACTTAGACTCTGCTTTTCTAAATTCAGTTTTGCTTTTCTAAAATGTCAGTAGGATTGATTCACATAGCCCATCTTAGTCCTAAATAACAATGACTTTTTTACTTTAAAACAGAGTGAACATTGGCTAGAGAATAGATAAGGTTGAATTTGGCCACTTTACAGAAAACATTTGAAAGATGACAGGCAATCATTTTTTATAATAAAGCAGTATTAATGTAACTCTGAAAGAAAACTGAAGAGATATATGGTTGTCATTTATGCAATAATTTATTGTATGCACACATTCCATTAAATGGAACATACGAAAATGCATTAATGTGCTTTTAATGACTGCTATAAATGAGAATTTGCAGTAAATTTCTTATATTACTTTAAATCTTTATGCTTTCTTTTTGCTCCTTTGAATTCAAAGCAGAAAAAATGACTCTCCTTTACATAGGACTGATAGGAATTCAGAATAAAAAGTTAACATAAAATCTAAGATTGCCTTGAGCAAGTATTTAATAAATGGGAGAAATATTTAGCTATGACAAATATTTCACAAAAAACCCCCTCTGCAAATGTGGCATGTTTATATATTTGTTCTCTGATTATTATTATATATTTTAATTTGATGGTTATACAAAGAGTTTTGCTGAAAATAAATTTTTATGCCATCTTGATTGAAATAAAACTTTATTTGCTATTTCTGAAAATAAGTAATAAACAAACAATCAAAGAAAATGGTGCTTTGGTTTGCAAAATATGCTAAAATCCCCCCATGTGTAGATGAGTTGGTATGTCATTGGTGACACAAGTGTGCTGAGGTTTTTTCTTCACATGCTCTACAGATCTCCTCCCTTCCCTCTCCCTCTTGCACTGGGAAGCTATGGAAACTCATGAAATTTCTGAATTTATTCACATTATTTATGACTGGAACTTCAGGAAGAGAGAATGTCAGGGAATGTAGCCTCTAATAACAATATGATAGCACTGAGACACAGTCACTAACCCAATTATGGATTGGTTCCAGTTGTTTTGATAGTTCATCAGATCTCAGGGTCTCACAGGGGAAAACATTCCCTTAGCTCTTGGGAAGTGTGCCCAAACCATCCAGCTCTTTAATAGGCACTGCTGGAAATGTCAAATCCATGGATTCTGCTGGCATGCCTGGGAGAGCAGGAGCTGTCAATTGCTTTCAATAACATTCACATTTCATGAGAAAGCAGGGAGCTAGGAAACACTGGAGTTCTTGATATTTGCATGCTGCTTTGCAGCATTCATCTGACCTAAGAATATGTTGGCATTTTACCTCAGATAGTTGGAAGTGCTTTTGAAAACAAGGATGGTCCAAACCCATTAATCACTCTGTTCTTTTCTGTGCTTGTGACTTTGCCATTGTGATGGTCCCTGACAGCTGAAGCATCTCTTATTCAGGAATTAAGTGCAAACGTCACTGCTGCTACTAGGAAAAAATGTGGATGCTTTCCCAGCTATAAGTCTTACATATAGCATGAAATTATGTGTCAGCCACTATTCATTGTTGTATTATGTGAGTTGCTGGGGAAGCCTGAGCTTCTGCTACAAAGGATAAGGACCCTTCAGTGTGGGGAACTGCTTATTTGTGAATAGTAATGGCAGGGCTGGCATGGGTCATCTTTTCCTCTTTCTTTCAGTTCCATCATCTCTGGATCTGTTCTAGGATTTTTCAACGGAGGGAGGAGGGCAGGTGTTTATTGATATTTAAATTGCAACTTCCCAGCATCTAACTTGTTCTTTATTCTTAAAGATCTGTAAAATGCCACACTCTTAGGTAAAGTTTTCGTTTGTCACTAATCAGTTCTGCAAGAAATTTGTTTTGTTTCCTAAACTGGCAGTGTGAGTTTTAAATATTTTTTTTAAGTTTGCACAAATGATGTTGCTACAGGAATTTGTTAGTTACATGCTAATGGATTTGGATTTTTTTCTTATTAGAAATTTAGTGATATTCTGCATCTCTTAATGCATACTATTGAAAAAGGGATATTTAACTATGCCGACAGATTTAGAACATTTGGGGTACACTGATAAAAAACAAATCATTTGTTTGTACTTGGGAAACAGCTGAAATGCTATAGAGCGGATTAAAATGATAAATATATTTTGATTTGGTTCTTTTGTCTTTCCACAAATATTAAACAAACAAAGTAATGAAAAAACCCCAGAGTTTCTTTAAGAGAAGTGAAAGAACTTCTATATAAGCTTTGTTTTACAGTGTTGAATGGTATTTTTTTGTCATCACAGTTGGAGCTTTACTTTTGGTGATCAGCAGGTTTCAGATGTTGGTAAACACAATATATTTAATGGCCATTCTCCTGTTTTGTGTTCTTTGGAAATATACAGTAGGGAATAAACACTGGAATAGCAGCAGAAATTATGGTTCATATAGATAACAGATTTTTTACTTGCTTTAGTGAGCATTATAAAACCAAATACACTGAATAATTTAATATATTTAGTGACTTCACATTTGCTAGCAGTACAAGTACCTTTCATTCCAATAGAATAATACATACTTCTAATATTTAATTAAATTCTGCTGCAAATACAAAATAAATATGTTGTGCAAGACTTCTAGTTTTGTAACATCATTTCATTAATGATGTTGTAAGTAGAAGTCAGTGGTACAAGATGCTTTTACATATACAGAATGCACATGTCTTTGTAATCTCTCTTTGCATTTGTATGCTAGAGTGAATGCTTTTCTATCTAGTGCCCTCTGACTCAGTTCCTCAAAGGCATGTTGTAAATACTTAATTTCTAGCACCTTTGCTTTTCTGCCACATGTCCTTGTGAATTGAATGGTGTTATTTGAATCTCAGATGAATTTTTTTGGTATGGACTCATTCTTGAATTTTATTTCAAATAGCAGTTCTGGGAAAATGCTGTAATAAAGTACTTATGGATGATAAGTGGACAGGTGGCCAATAAGTGAATTGATATTTATTATCACAGAATGCCTAAGGCTGGAAAGACCTTCCAGATATCATCTCCTCCCCTCTTCAAAGAATCAAACTATTGCCCAGTTCATTTTTTTAGTATTTTCAAGGATGAGACTCCATAACTTCTCTGGGCAGACTTTTCCAGTGTTTAGCCACGCTCCTGATTTTGGTTTTGGTTTGTTTTTTTTCTCTTATGATGAGATAGAATTTCCTGTATTTAAAATTGTACTCTACATTTTGTGGTCTCACTGAGCATTGCTGAGAAGAGTCACCTTCTGCCTTACTCCTTCCTCAGATATTTGTGCACATAGATCCCCCTGAGCCTTCTTTTCTCACAGCTGAGCACTCATGCCTCTCCAGTCTCTCCCCACACAGCAGCTTGTTTAGTCCCTTCAGTCCTGACCTCCACCATCTCATGCTCACTGCAGCCACAGCCATGGAAGTTAAATCCTTATGATCAATATCAGCTGCAGAATCAGTTGCTGACTTGCAGGATTCATCCCCTCCTCCTCAATATCATCAGTCTGAAAGTCAGCAGAGATTTAATGAAATAAATTGTGTTTGCTGTTGGCTGGGTGTGTGCATCCCTTTCTGTGTTACCACAGCAGCCAACGAGGAACACCCGAGGAACAGGAACTTTGCTTGTGGCAGCACCACAATGTCTGCTGGGTTTATTTGTACACAGGTGTTCTGTTGTGGGGCTGTTCTTTATATTCTACATTGTGCAGTTACTTCCTCTGCTCTGAGTAGTTTCACTCATGGAATTTGTATAAGTGGTTCAGATGTACTGCAGTTGTTCTCAAGCACCCTTTTCTGTGTTACACTACTGTGCAAATCTGAGCATGAATGAAGATTTCCTCAAATCCCAAACTGGTATTTAGGATGGAAATGGCTGAGATAACCTCAAACTGAGAAATCAGGAAAGTTGGCTGAGTGTGCTAATACAGACATCTGAGTTGCTTTCATATGACTTGTGAGCTGTCTTTCATTAAGCTCTGTACAGCTTTCTTCCCCTCCTGCCTCTCACTCAGTTGTCTGAAGTTCACCTGAGTGCCTGCAGAGTGTTGATAGTTGTCATTTATCACAGTAAAGTCATGAGTTGGAAGTTGCAAACCTTTCTGTGTTGTAGTTTTTGATCCTGTGTGTCTTTAAATGGTTGGTAAAGGTAGAACAAACAAGCCCTGACACTTGTTTTGAGCCTATACAATTGTACATTTTGTTCACATAGGTAGGTGTGGATGTACCTCTCAGAGCCATCTGTCCTGCTGATGCTCTGCTGCTCTGATTATTTGCTGAATAAAAGCAGAAAGAAATGACATTTGCTGCAAGAAATATTATTCTGCACAGTGCAAGTGGCCAGAGCCCTTGCCTTGCCCCCAGCCAAGTTCCAGTAGGATTAACATTTCCTAAAAGCAAACCAAAGCATTGCAGAGCTGGATTATTTACTTAAATGACTGTTGGATATCAAATTGCAATCCCAGTGAGAATATTTACCTGTAAGAAGGTTGGGTATGATTTTGTTGGAACCTTTCTCTATTTATTAAAGTTACCTTGAGAGCAATGTCTAAGAATGTTGTGTTTGGAGACTGAAGTATGAAGGAGGAAACAAAACTGCTTTCTGGTATTTTTAAAACATTTCTTTTTTCCTTGATTATGTTATTCCACAAAAAACCCCCAGTAAAATTAAATTATGTCATATTATAAATAAATTAATCTGAGAGTTCTTGTCATATCTTTTAATATTAATCTAAATCTGCAATAAATATAGATTTATTTTAGGTTGTTTTGAGGAAATAGAAAATATATTCATTTATTCTGTGCAAGGTATACTTTCAATATGCATAATTCTCAATGTATTGAAATAAGATGGATATCAGCATGCTGTTTGAATAATTAAAACACATTTTTCTTTTTACATTTGACAGTTTTGTCAAAACAATTAATTAAAATTAATGTTAGTTAATAAGTAAATAAGGACTACAAACCCAACTATTTAATAACATAGGACTAAGCTCAGTTTAATTACCTGTCAGTTGCAATGAGTTAAGAACATAAATACAGATGACTCCCAGCATTGCATTGATGGTAATAATTTGCTTGTTGACTACACACTGAGAGACTGAGGTGAAGTATGAAAAGAGGGTTAAAAGGTGGATTGCTGCACATCAATAAAGTTGCTGCAGGTAGAGCAGACACTCCAGTCAACATCAGAACATGGACATAAATTTCTATTATATTGCAGCAACTGCAGTCAATATCTTATTGTTTTAAAATTGAATCTATTCAATTTTAAATATTTATTTTGACATTTCTGTAAAGTCTTATAGAATAAATGCTGCATCAAAATAGAAGTTCCTTTTCAAGAAAACTTCCCTTGTCAAAAGTTGTAGGACATATTATCAGGTATCTTTAGGAGACTTATTAAATGTCAGTTGTAATTTTAGTAGTTTTTATTTTTCTTTTTAGAAATACAAAGTTAATATATTTCATTAAATCTCTGCTGACTTTCAGACTGATGATACATCCATGCTCACAGTAAAACTAAGAAGTGAAAATACTATGCCAAACTTCAGCTTTTTTGAAAGGTGCAGTTCTACCTGTGTAATCTGTTCAACCACTAGAGATGAATGAAGGAGTTCTGATACCTTCAATCTGTCTTTTGTTCTTGTGCCAAAAAATGTCTTGATTATCATTGGTAAATAGAAAATGGTAACTTCTGTGTTTTGTTTTCAACAGGTTCTCATTTCAGGTTGCTGGAACAGCAGACAATTGTCTTCTCACCTTATACCCATACTTGGCATTGCACCGCTCTGATCAAAAGATTATCTGGAGAAGCAGTAAGCAATCAAAACTCTACCTCTGAAATTATATTATGCCCATTAGTATTATCAATGTTTTCAGGGTGATATCAGGAATGTGATTGCCAAGATAGCATTTTCTCTCATTTGTTGCAGTGGCACACTGCAATTAAACTTTTTAATAGCTTCAGTTTTCTTGTTGAAAATGAGGACAAGCTATAAAAATGGTGAGGTCATATTTATTGAAAAATATTGAACAAACCAAAATCTTACAGAATGTTTGTGAAACGTTTTAAATATGAATAGGGAAAACAGCCAAAACATTAGAGAATGTTTAAATTAACTTAATTTGAATTGGATTTATAGACAGTGATCATATGTTTTGAAGAAAGCAAAAGAGAAACCACATGATGTTATTTTAAAATGTGATCATTACTTTCCTGTTGGAATAGTTTTCAGGGTTTTTTAACTTCTGTCCTTGAAGGAAAAAGGGCACCGCTATCTTTTAAGGTCTAATAAAAATTCTCTGTGGTCAGAGAGCAGAAATATTTTTATCTGCATTAAGTCTCCCTGCCTCCCTCTGCCTGTCTCTGCCTCTAAATCTCTGCCTGTGTCCCTGCTCCTGAACCCATCTCTGCTGCCTCAGTGATATGTGATCTCTGTGTGTGGCTGCGGTCATGGCAAGATAGGGATCATTGGTTAATTCGGGTTGGAAGGGATCCCTGGGGGCTGTCTAGTCCTGCTTAAAGCAGGTTCAATGTGGGGTAAAGGATTGGGTTTTTATAGCTGTATATATGATCTGATGTATTTTGATGAAATAGAGAAGTTTTTCAGGTAAGCAAGTAAGTCCTTAGATCTGAGACAGATTTAGCATCAAAGACTGAATTGTAAGACTGCATTAACTTAAAGTAAGTGTGTCACTCAGGGTATTTAAGAGAAAAGAGAATTGATACTTGGGAAATTGAGAAATGGATTAGCAAGAAGACAGGTAATGTTTTGGACTTTTTCACCCAAATGGAAGAAGATAGGTGTAAGTACCACATCATTCAGGGATCATAGCACAATTAAATGAAGATAGGAAGGGGAAAAAATATTATTTCTTATTAATGTATATTTTTTTGTTTATTTTCTTTATTTTTGTGACCAATACACCATTTTTGCAAGCTTGTTTTCTAAAGATACTTTGTAGATTTCCATTAAAGATTAAGCCAAAAATGGAGTGGTGGTTTTATAATAAATGATCTCCCATTAACATTGGGATATTTCTGTCCTGCATTGATTGCTTATTGGTTTGTTCACACATCAGTTGGTGTCAGTTTTGAAGCAAGTCATTACTGCTATATCCCTTGAGTCTTTTTTATGTGATTTTGTAGAGACTGTGTTGGTGTTGAATGCTGTTTAATGTGACCAAACCATATCTATACAACACAGTGTCTTTGAAGGGTATCCAGGAAGGCTTTGCCTCTGCTCTGACACTATGCTTTTGTTTTACTTCCTACAGATGATAAAAATAACACTGCCAGCAATCAAAAGTTAAAAGATAATCAGAGAGTTCTTGCTTCTCTTAGTGGTGTGTTTGTTTCTCTGGAAACTACACTTGGTGCCTTCTTTGTTTTGGACTGACAGCAGAGAGTCCTTTAATCATATCTTAGGCCAACATGAGAAAGTCAGAACATATGTTATTTCAGAACTGATGGATTGATAAAGTTTACTTCTGAGTTTTGTTTGTAAAATATGTGTTGTCAAGTCTGAAAGAGCTTAATAATGTTTGCAGCTGTGAACAAGAAGTCCTTAAGAGTATTTTAGTCATGACACAGAATTCTTGACCTAGCATTGTTCTGATATGGGCTTTTCAGCAAGTAAAAAGATGCATCCTGTAAAATATACAGTTAATGGGGAAAAAACACCAAAAATGCATGAAATTTTTTCAGGACCCCAGTCTAATGACCAAAATAAGATATGAGTCAAATAAGAACTGTTACTTGATTAATTGAAACACAAATTAGAAAAATATAGAAGTAGATATTTATAATGTGTTAGAGCACAGACAGTAAAATATGTTTTCTCAGCTGCAACTTTAATCTTTTTTTACAGACAGTAAAGACTTCAACACTGGAGAAGTTGTTTTACAGCCATGTCGTACACCACCATCACCTTCACATAGCCATTCCACAAGTTCTTTAGGTGCAAATAGTGGCTCAACTTGTGAAGATTCTCTGTCAGGTATAGTACAGCACATAAAGTCAATGATCTTATAAAGAATAAGGTTCTTCTCTCCATATTGTATTGCTTTTTCCTCTTAAATCCCAGTAAGATTTTTTTTTATTCACAAGGGTATAAATTAATTTTATTTTTACATCATTAATGAAACCCCAACAGTGGTATTAAAATACACCTTCAAGGGTGGATTCACCTAAGTTAGTTGTGCTATAAAGAAAACTATTTTTTGTTTTATTAGGTACCTTTTTGTGCAATGATGTTGTTGATGTTAACAACTAACAGTTTTTAAAATATGTAAGTTATGAACAGATCAGAATTTAGGTGTGAAAAGCCTAAGAGAGGGGAGAAAAGTCCAAAGGCTTATAGATGTAGTGGGAGTTATACCTGTATGATAACTGTTAAAGTGAACTTGCAGTGACTGACAGGCAAAGCTGTGTGTGTTGGAACTGTGTGTGAGACTGATTATTTTAAGATTCTGGCTATAGTTTTGTAGGCCATACCTGAATTTAATTTTTGCTGGTTGAATAATGCTTTTTTTCTGAAAGTGAAATTAGATTTCAATATATCATTTGTTCTGTTCTTAAGATGTGTATTTTTAATTTAAATTGTTTTTTCTTAAAATAAGTTGATAATTTATTGTCTGGAAGATTTTGTTCTTTGGAAACAATTGTGTGTTGAAATATTTTTGTACTAGAAAAATGGGGAAATAAGAAATCTTTCTGGATGTTTTATTTTGTGTGTATCCTTCAGAGAGTATCACTGATGAAAGTGAGAGTGATGCGTATGAAAGTGAAGAGGATGAAGAAAAAAGTGAAGGGAGTGAAACTGACAGTGAAAGTGATGGGAAAGGAAATGAGTGTGAATTATCATTTTTTCCTGATGAAGATAAAGAGGAGTACATCTTCTTTCAGAAGACCCTAGATGCTGTCAAGAGTTGGTTCACACTCTTTGGTTGGCCTACGGGACAAAATCCTATTTCAATACCTTATTCATTGAGATGGTAATTCATGCTTGCTTAGAGCTAACTCCTGTCTGTCTCGTAACAGGCTAACAGATCTACTCAAGGGGTTTGGATATGATCTAAGGAATATGAACACACTCTAATGCACAGTTTTCGATCAAAATTGTAGCTTCTATGTGGTGCTTATATGAAAATGTCATCCAGGTGTTAGTTTTTACTTTCTAAAATACATTTTCAACTATGATATCATAATGCAGTGTATGTTGAATGTGCAGTTCAAACTATATGTCACCTTAACTGAAATTGATTCTCCTCTGAGACTGAAAACAGTTCTAGCCTTTGTCCCTCCTTTGGTGGCATAAGTAAGTTCTTTAACAGTATGTATTTTTCCCCCTCATAATCTCAAGATCAAGAAACAAACAAGAAATAATATTTTATAATCAAGAGCCTTGCAAGCACCCTGGAAATATATCAGTTGTGGTGGCCTCACTTATTTGATTTTATCTTGCTTTGTTCTAAATAGTGAAGAAGCCACTCTCCTGGGAAACAATCACATAGACATTTATAAATATGATAAAAATCCAAATTATGTTTGGCAGAAAGCTTTTATTTATGAAGGAATAAATATTCCATGCAGTTCAAAATCTTTACTTTATTATGAAAGTTCTGTAAAGATGAAAAAGTGCTGTACTTTTCAACCTTCTTGCTGCTGTTTTTAATTCATGGTTTGTTAAATTAGCATTGTGATACATGTAATTGTAGCTCATTTTGTGCATTTAGAAGAATAATATCAAATTATATATCAATATAATACTAAAAATTTTTCTTTCCTAGTGATGTGTGTATAGTCCAGCTAACTGTTGCACAAGAAACTACTTTTAAACGAAAGGCTGACAAAGATAAGTGTTTTTATGATATGTTCTTGCATCTGAATGGACAACCAATACAAGGCATTGCTGCGAGCCAGCCATTGCCCCGTGATCCAGTAGAAAGAATGTTCCAACTCCACTGGCAGCATTCTGAATTGCTCTGCTTCCTTAAGTAAGTGGAAATATGATGAGATACCAGTGAGTGCACCTTTTCTTTCCAATTTCTAGAATTAGTATTCTTCAAGCCTAGTTCTAACTGGATGGTATACAGTGGGTTTGGGGTTTCACAGTTTCTACTTTTTGTGAGATAAGATGTATGTATTCTAACCTTTAATTTATTTTTACCAAGGTTGTCTGCAGTTTGCACTAATCAAAGTGTACTTTGGTAGGGTTATATCTAACAGGAATTCTACAGGAGCTCTGATTCTTTAATTGCAAAAGATGACTTGTAACCTTTCTTCTTAGACAGGCTCAGTGGACAGATCAAGTTTTTCATTCATGATCTCGCCATTCTACTGATGCTCTTGGTGGAACCTGATGACTCATTTGGCTTTCACATGGAAATGGATAGTATTTGTTGTGGTGTTTTGTGTTATAATAAATCCTTCATGGAGGAGCAGTGCTTAAAAAGAAGCCAACCTGTCCAGAGTTGTATGCTATTTAAGTGTGTGGTTGTAGCCATAGGAATTGAACATGAGTTTCTATCCATGAAGATCCTATGAGCAATTAATGGAGCTGGATCACTACTCCACAGGCTATTCAGATAGAGGAGATTACACAAAGATTAAACATCTTGAAAAAAATTGATTTCTCTTAAAAGAATAATGTTTCCTATTAACTTTCCTGCTTTGTGATTTCAGAAGCAAAGGAGCATATCTTTCTCATGTTATGCCAGAATTTCTGCTTGCACCTGAAGATTATGAGCTATGGACTGAAGTGAATACTGGACTGAGGGTAGGTAGGTTTGGTGATTTTTCTCTTTTTAATAAAGCCCATGTGCTTAGTTTCAGTCCTTTGAATACTAGTGGAAGTTCTTGGTGGACCATGAGTGTTCTTACTGTGGTGACTGTTTTGGACTGCATAACTCTAAGCACATGTATGAGACTAAGTAGGAATTAAAGCTGACTCCCACATTTACATTGGTCTCCCTGTTTTTTTTCAATTCCTTCTGATACTGTAAATACCTAATATTAATGTCCAATATATATGTTTTAAAGCAGAGATCAGATTATCATACAGATTTTATAATTTTTAAGTGAAGTATTTACTGTGTTTCCCTTGTTTCCTGATTGCTGGTTTCAACTCCTGTCAATTCTTTGTTCTGGTTCTTATTCCTGAGATATGAGCAAACTTCAGATGGTTCTAATATTGGTCACTACTGCAGTATAGTAGTTGTTAACCCCCATTTATGTCATTGATTCATTATTGTCCTCTTGTGAATTTCCTCTCCAAACTGATGAAATAAATACTGAAAAAAATTGCCATCTTTTGTCTGAAGTGTTTTGTACCTGAAGTGAAGAGAGGAAGCATGAGAAGCTCAGGCAACTTAAGTGGCAATCGTATTTTTGTTCTGGAGAACAGAACGTTTGAGACAATGAGCAAACGAGCTTGGACAGATGTGCTGCTGCAGATGTACAAGGTAAATTGCAGATGTATTTACTACCAGATTCTGGGGAACTGATGGCCAAAAGCTTTGTTTTCCAAAAGATCTGTGGTATATTGGAGGTTTATTTTTTTCCCAAACACATCTTTAAAATTTGATACTTGTAAGTATTTTATTTCTCTCTAATAGAGAAGGAAAAAAGAGAGAGTAAGAATATTTTAATTTTCTTTACAACCTTAAAGTGTGTTAATATGTTTCAACTAGGAAATGTTATATTAGAACAGTCTGCATTTTGTAGAATTAAATGTTATATAAATATTAGTGTAAGTAAGGAAACCTCTGTCATGCTTTTGTGTTACCATGCTTAGAAGCAGGGTAATTATGTTCACTGGACATAATTGCCTAGATGTATAAGTAACATTTATTACCCTATATTGAATGGAATTTTTCAACAACGAAGCATTTTTTTTATAATCCTTTAAAAATATCAACTTGGTCAGTAAAGACTTCTCAGATTTTGTTCAATTTTATTTTTAGTGATGGTTGAGAAAAATCTTGGGTATCATGTTTTCCAAAGTAAAACTTACATGCTCATCAATGATCAGTGCATTTATGTGCCTAGGAGAGAAAATTATTTCTTTCTGTTCCAAGGGATGGAAAAGAGATTAAAAATATAGATAATATTTTGGCTTCCCAGTACAAGTCAGAGATGAATGTATTGGGGTGTGACTTCAGTGAAGGATCCCACAGATAATTTAAGAGACTGGAGCATCTGTTATTTAGGGAGAGACTGAAAGAGCTGAGACTGTTCAGCCAGAAGAGAAGGCTCAGGTGGAGGGGTGTATCTAAGAAATGTGTTTCAGTACCTGAGGGGAGGTTGGTTGTAAAGAGGACAGTGCCAGACTCTTCAGTCGTGCCTCATGACATGGTAAGAGGCACCAGGCACAAACTGAGATGCGGGAAATGCCTTGAAACTTAAGAAACCTTTTTCCTGTTAGAGTGGTCACACAGTAGGATGGATATCCTGAGGGGGTTGTGGAGTTACAGTCCTTGGAAATATCCAAAGCCCAGCGGAATGCAGTCCTGGAAAAGCACTCTGATCTTGGATCAGGAGGTTTGGACCAGACAATCTCCAGAGCTGTCTTCCATCCTCAACTATTCTCTGACTATGTGATTATTGATTGGGAATGCACAATAAAACATAGAGATGAAACAGCATGTGTACATGGGCTGAGACAGATGACTTAAGGACACATGGGAACATGGGTTTGGAAACAAGCAATCATAGTTACCAGAAAGTAATTTTGCTGTTCTTTCAATTTGCTGTAGTATTCATAGGTACATGACAGACTAGCACAGAGCAAAACCCCACCAAAATTAATAGTATGCATGTGTGTTTTGTTGTTTGGATTTTGATTTTTTTTTCCCTGATGAGATGAATTCCTAAGACATAGCTTGAAATGCATTGATCCAATCAGGTTTTATATCAGTCAGGTTGAGGAAATCTCCAGTACCAATCCAGGATGGGGGATGAACAGATTCTGAACAGCTCTGCTGAGAAGGACTTGGAGGTGCTGGTGAATGAGAGGCTACATGAGCCACCCTTGTGCACTTGCAGCCCAGGAAACTAATTCTGCCCTGAATTAGCCCTAACATTTTATTTTAGACCTTTTAGAATCTTTTCAGGAGAAACAATCTGTGTAATTTGGACTTTCATTACCCAGTTGCTAAATAAGCAACTGGGTAATGAAAGATACAATTTAAATGTTTCTGTAGATTGTGCTAGACATCAGGGTAAGTAGTTCAGCACTTAGAGCTTTGGGTATAATATGCACAGTAATTCTTGGAATACAGATGACCTAATGGTTTCACAGGATTCAGCAAAACTTGGAGAAAAGTTGAATACAAAAAATACTTAGACTCAGAGACTATATCTAGTTGGAAGAGACCCATAAGGAGCATTGAATGCAACTCCCAGCTCCTCCCAGGACTATCTAAGCTAAACCATATGACTAAGAGCATTCTGCAGATGCTTCCTGAACTCTGACTGAGTTGGTGCCATGACCACTTCCCTAGTCTAGTGATCAACTACCCAATGAGTGCAGAACCTTTTCCTAAGATCTAAACTTGCCCTATTGCAGCTTCATTCCATTTCCTTGTGTCCATATTGCTGATCATCAGAGAGAGAAGATAGGCACCTTCCTCTCCTCTGCCCTCCTTGAGGAATTTGTAGACTGTGGTGAGGTCACTCTTCAACCTTCTCCAAGCTGAACAAACCAAGTGATCTCAGTGGCTTCTTGTTTGTCTTGCTCTTGAGACCGTTCACCATCCTGTGTAGTGGTTATGTGGGTGCTAATGTGTAGCCTTCTAAATCTTTCCTAAATTAGGAAACCTTTTGAGTTTAAAGTGTTTATTTCTTTATCTGTCAGCTCGAAATTCTTTTTTATAGTTCATGCTTTAAAACATTTTTTATCATTTCAGGTGTTTGTTCTTCCACGTGTTTCTTCCCGTATGGTTCCTGACCCATTGAGCTTGGAAAGCTTGCAGAACATGCCAGGAATAAAATCAGAACCCTTATGCAGTAATATATATTCTCGATATGAACGAACCATCCTCATCTGGTTGAATAAATATTATGAGAAAAATCGAAAAATTGTGTGGAAAGATAGTCAAAGAGGTGAGATAATTCTTTCACTATGTTCTTTCTTTTAATGCTCCTTTTGCAGACTTTTGCAATTGTTACTCACAAAGATATTTTGACAACTTGCCACTAAAAGTATTTTTTGGTATAAGTTATTGCCTACCCATATATATTTCCTTTCCTTGTGTTTCTATGTTCCAAGATCAGCATCTTTTGATTAGCATGATTGCTCTTCTGTGTGTTCTTATAGTTTTTAACTAGGCATAAAGGGTGATGTGAACCTCCTCACTTTCTTCTTCCATTAATGTTGTCAGGAAATGCTAACAGTAATTACTTTGTCTTCGTATTCCTGTTTGTAGTCAGACATAGTTGTTACTATGTGTGCTTGTAGTGGCATGTTTGAGAGCTAGTTTTTCAGTTTTTAGAATATTTTTATATGTCCTTTATTCAGTGACATTTGGGAAGGCAATAGAGACCAAGGTTCCAGATTACTAATCCTGTCCTACTTGCAACAATGGATTGACTCTCACGGTTGCTTGACTAAGGCTCAATAGTTATCTAGGCAGTTCTGGTATTTAAATCTGATAAACTGTTCAACCACTAGCAATTATTACTTCTATTTTGTTTCATGACTTTTTACTTTTGCTTTTTGACCCTAACTTAATTGCCTTTTTCAGCAGTAATTTTGGGTGTGTGGTGAACACCAAGAAAGGCCAGTCTGGTGATAAGCAGGGATGACCTCCAGAATGGCTCATAAACCACTTATGGAAGAAATTTCCTAGTGTCATTTTATGCCTCATGCGATTTCTGACCTCTCTCAATTATGGATAATCTATTTGGATGCCATCTTCCATAAGTCTTATTTGGGCAGAATCTCTATCTTGCATATGCTTTGACTATTCCTTTGCTTTTCTCATTTTACTGTGTAGAAGCAAGTTGTAATGGCTATTCTTAAATACATTGAATACTTCTGCTGGTAAGATTGAAATGTTAGTTTGCACCACCTGCATCCAACAGAAAATAGCTGGTTTTGCATAATCTGGGCCTGGTCTTGTGATTAACTCAGGGAGCTCCCTAGCTAAATAACATGCCCTGGGTGTATTTGCAATACATCTTTTATTATCTGTGCCTGCTTTAGTGGAGCTTTCTCACAGCTGCCAGCACTGCTCTGCTGGGTTTTTCTGAGCCCTTGTGTGTAGATGACAACTTGCAGAGAGAATGGCTCTGTCTGGCCAGGGTTGTGGCTTGCTATAAATGCTACATGGATAAATTCCTCATCCCCAAATGTTCTCTGGACTGCAGGATCCAGTAATATCTGGGTGTAGAGGTGTGGCTGGCCTTGTTCTGGTCTGTGGGAGCTCAGTGGGGAGAATCTGAATGCCAAAATATATCTTATTTAACATTAAACTTTTAATTGAGTTATATCTCTAAGGAGTGAATCTGAATCCTAAAGTGCAGATCTAGTGGTTATTGCCAGACAAAGAGCTGCAGATGTCCAAGTGGAATATGTAGTAAGGATGCATTGAAGGAGCCAGCTATTGAAAGTGTTATTTTAGTTTCCTAAGAGTAGATAATGAATTATAATATAAAAATGATAGGTCTGTTTTAAATAAGTCATCATATAGTTATCAGCAATTGTAAAATAGGGTTTTTTTTACAATTATTTAGTTCTAAAGGCTCCCCAAAATTGGCACCCAAGAAGAACAATTTAATTACAGTATTGGTATTTTCAGAAAATAATAATAACTTCTGCTAAATCATGCTGTCAGTACAGATAACTCACTAGGTTGATATATTAATTAGTGCAAATCTGACTGTAGCTTTGACTCTGGGTCACAGGTGAAGATGAATTCTGTGGTTACTGCCAGGGTACATTTATCTGCATCACAGTTCCCACCTACAATTTCACTTAATTACACTTTTCTGCTTTCAGATAGGTTCAAGATCAGAATAAAAAGGCAGAGTTTATATATACTTTCTGCATATGGGAAGTTACAGATAATGCCTTGATATATCAACTTTTTAATAGTTTTTTTTGGTTCATTGATTCTGTATTATCTTTTCTGTAGGGTACACAGAAACAACTTGATGTATGCACATAAGCATGCCCTTTTCTTTTGCTTCTATTTCCATTTCTCTCCCCAGATTGCATAAATGAGCATTGGAAAGATCTAATAATCCAAAATAAAGAGAGAAAATTCTGAAAATTTGTGAAATTCATAATTTTACTGTTATGCCATTGTATTATGAAAGTGTCGAGTTGTGCAATCTTACACTGTTTTTTTTCAGAGATGACCTGCCTCAATATCTCTTTGAATCCTCTGTTTAACCTTCACTTTCCTCTAGCTTGTTTTGCTTTTGTGCCTCAAAATGAATCGGTGTTTTCTCCTGTTCTTTCTGCCAAATGAGGCAATGCATCTGAAGGCAAAGAGCACAGAAGAGACTTAAGAGACTCAATGCCTTCTTTTTTACCTTGGTCTCTAGTGTTTAAGATTGAGCACTGAGCAATCCCAGGCCCTTGACATGAATGGGAAAGTCTGGAACAGGGAAGATTTAGCCTTGGTGGAGGAGGATCAGACTGGGGAGCCACTGGACAACCACAAGCCCAGGGGACCCAGTGGGGTTCACCAAGTGCTGAGAGGCCAATGCCATTACAAGGTCACATTCAACAGCCTTGGGAAGATCAGGAAAATCTGAGTGGGGGAAGTTTGGAAGAGATGTCATTCCCATCTGGAGAGAGAATCCAGGAAGCTTCAAAGCCAGTCACCCTCACCTTGTCTTTTGGGATGCTGACGGAGTAAATAATCTTTCCAAACATTACCAAGCATACAGAGTACAGGAACAGTTTTGTGAGTAGCTGCCATGAATTTCCAGAGATAAAATCTTGTTGGATCAACCTGATTGCCTTCCATGATGACAGGGCCATCTCAGTGGACAGGGAGAGAGCATGGATGTTTTTCATCTCAGCTTGGGCAAAGTTTTCAACAGCCTCCTGTAAGATCCTCAAAATCAAAGTGGTGAAGTACAGGCCAGTTAAGAGCCCAGTGAAGTGGACTGAAATCAGGCTGAACTGCCAGCCTCAGAGGGTTATGGTCAGTGGCACAAAGTCTGGCTGGAGTCTGGTGACTAGTAATATATCCCAGGGGTCATTAATCTGAACTTGTTTCTTAAGATCATGCACTGGAGAAGAGCTTATATACCTTGGCAGATTTAATAATCTGATATACTTTTGGTCCTTTAAGTTTTATGATGTTAAGATAAATCTTTAAATTTATACTCACATATTTTGACATTTTAATTTATGTTAGCTTCAAACTAAGCATTTAAGGCAGGCTTTTCCAGAGGAAATTAAGTGTCATAAAGAAGAATGTCAGAGCATATTAAGTGTTCATGCATCTCAGCTGAAAGTCTCAAATATCCTCAGTTTTGAATTTTGATTGTTATTATTTGCTTATTTTAAGAGGATTAGGTTTTTTTTTTTCCCAGTTCTTACTACAATGCAGATCAGAGAGCTTGCTTAGCATTTGTGTTCCTGAATGTTACCATCCACTCTGCTTTGAACACTTAGCCCTGACTAGCAAAATGTATTGACCTGCTGTTTTCAGCTCAAAACAGTCTGTTGGGTGATCAATTTCCACAAAATAAATGAAGATCTATCCAGGCCACATTTCTTAGTCTTTCCTTTGATACCTAAGCTCTTTAAAGTGAAATATGACAGTGAGAAAAGCCTAAGCTACTGCAGTGTAGAGAGGTTTCAAATATTCATCTTTATTACAGTCTTCTGAATTTGGAGATAACTATGTCATTCATCAGAACTCTCCTCTTGCAAGAATTAAGATTTTAATAGCTAAAAGAGAACATTAGCCGGGAGATTAGTGTCTCCACATCTTCTCTTCTTACTGCTACTGAAAAATAAATACATTTTAAAAGCATCTTGGCATGTGTTTTGTAAGGGTAGGCTTTGTATTATGTCTTATTGACCACAAACTGGAAAGTAAGGTTGAAACTTGAGTCTAAATGCCATAAAACTGAAATGCAGCTATGCCTGTTATGCTGAGACTATAATTATGCATGAAATATAAGATTCAGTACCCACTTAAGGCATTGTATGAACAATAATAATGATAGCAGAGGAATAATTGATTCCATTAATTATTTGAGCATAATAAATTTTCAGTTTACCTTCTAGTGTTCCTTATCTTCATGCTTCTTTTCAACATTTCTCTATGAAAAACTAACTGCTAATGACTTGAAAAAGTAACAGTAAGAAAAAACCCTTGAAGAACTGCTAGAGTGTTGGGATATTGTAATTCAAATCCTGTAGTCCCTAAACAGTGGAAAATCTTGCAGATTGGTGAATTAAATTGTCTCTTGAGAAGCTGTATGTCTCTTCCTTATTAATTATGACTCTTACCAAAGTGAAAAAGATAAATTACGTTTTTGGAAATAGGGAATTTTCATCAGTGTGTTCCAGGGAGATTTTGAAAAGAATAGATAATTCTATATTTCATATAAAATTGTTAGAGAAGATGACAGTCAGTAAATATCGGCAATACCTGAAGAGTCAATCTATGGCTGAGATTCAAGAGCTGTCCCCACAGCAGATACATCTTCACTTAACTGGGAAAACCTGCTTCAGAGGGGAGAGAAGTTCTAATCCATTGCCAGCCTAGGTGTGTCTGGCAATCTGAGGCATAGTGGCATCTTGCCAGAGTCTTATTTCCAATTAGGAAAGTTTTATGCATTTTATTCACTTCACTGTTAGTGAGTTTGGGGTTTTGTGGTTTTAATTTTGTATTTTCTAATTTTGATATCAATTCAGTATGATATCTGAGTTAAAATGTTAGGGGAGGAGATATTTTAGTGTGTGATTACAGATCTTCAAAAAATTGTGTGAGAGTTAAGTAGTATTATTGTTTTAAAACTGATTTTTTAGGAATTCAGTAGTATATATTTTTTTTTCTTTCCTAAGTTTTAATTAATTTTTCTTTGTCCTTTGTCCTCTCTCCTTTCTTTCCCTAGTTGTAGGAAGGATA